CATATTTCTGTCGCTGTAAAAAAGGGAAGACGAGCCATTAGAAAATGAAAGTGATGACAAAGGGGAGCCAGGCTCATAACTTCCACTGCGAGTAGCTCCAGCAGTTTCATCTTCAGTCGTTTTTTTTTTCTCCCGTTGCCATTGACTCCACCTCCTCGCCACATCCGTAAATTCTAATCTTGTCACTGTATCAAGGTCCACTCACCGTGAATTCGTCCCTCGATGATTCCTACCTCCTATATGAGACGAGTTAACGGGTTGGTGGCAGTGAGAGAAGCCGAGAAATAAGAGGAACGAGACGGGAAAATGTAGTCCTCGTTATGCTACGATGAAATACGATATCGTCTCACTCAAGGGAGAAAATTTGCTATTGCGTTGGATAACGGTTTTATCTTTATGTGGGCGGCTGCATTCAAGAAAGAATATGCTATTTTATCATGAACCGACGTTTTCTCATGAAAACATGCGTTAAATTTATTTTATGTTACTAGGCCCGATAACCCGCGATTCTAACCTGACTTCAGTCGGCTAGATCGCAGTTTTCGGGCCCGTAACATAATAGTGGATTTCGTCGTAAGACTGAAACAGTATATTTCTGACCTATAGGTGTTTATGTTACCTCGCTATAGGGCGGAGTTGTGCCCATGTGCGAAATTAATTGGTAAGCACGTGGGTAAGGGTCGTTTCCGTACTGACCTTCACATTTCCTCGTCCGGACATTGACGTTGGCCCTTCCCCAAACTCGAGAAAGTGAAAATCACTACGGAAAAATATCGTTCACGAAGCCGAGGGCTGCCAATCACACGAGTTAAAAGACCCCGTCGCATGTGTATCCGAACAATATTTTTCATCACGCTGTGACGAAAAGTGAACTTTTCGGCACGCTCCGCGTGCCTAAAAGTCCAATTTCCACCACATTGCGATGAAAAATATTGTTCGTAACTCGTGAAAAAATGTTTTTTAGCTCGTGGGATTATATCACTCGCCTTCGGCTCGTGATATAAACCTCCCACTCGCCAAAAAACACTTTGGAGAAGTTTTTTTGTGAAAAGTTGGGAAACTACTTGTCCCAAGTACTTTTCATGTCCTAGGGTAAAGTACAATATTTGCTAAGCAAGTAGGAAAAGTACTAGGAGGAAGTACTTTTATTACTTCCTGTCAGTATTTTTCTTACTTCTCACAAGTACCTTTGATGCTTGGAGCAAGTAATTTTTCTACTTTTCGCGAGTACTTTTATGACTTGATTCCAGTACTTTTGGTTGGTTATTTTGTTGAGGAATTTCATATCATTAATTATCATTCTCATTATCATTATCATTCTCAGATGACAATTAACAAATTTCATCAAGGGGAGGTTACGATGAGTTTCNGACTATTTGGAAATTAAATTTGGAAAAATTAATTGGTAATTGTTATTCTACACATCTTTTGAAAAATTTTGAAAAAAAAATCTCTGTAGCTCGAGAATTTATTACATTGGACTACATTTCAATTTTCAAGCGTTTGAGGGGCAAATGAACAATAAACAATAATTTTATTTGCATTAATTCTTCGTTTTTCAGCGATCTCTAGTGTATGATAAATTTTACTGTAATATTCCGCGAAAATCCATTAGTACTGGATTTGAGTGCTATTACTACTTGTCTCGAGTATTTTTTCTACTTTTGAGAAGTACAGCTCGGTACTCAGTACACGTACTTTTAGTACTGATGATGAGTACAGTTGGTACTTGTCACCAGTACCAATTGTACTTGGAGCATAAAACTTGTATTCAGTCGATTTTCGACTTGAACCAAGTAAAAAAATTACCTTTTCTCCAGAAACCCCTCGGTACTGAATACAAGTAGTTTTCCTACTTATCAGAAGTAATCTTTTTTTAGAGTGTACGAAATATACTATTTTGTTAGTGATGTTACGTTCAGCGAGTGCCGAACTGTGCCATTTTTCGTTTACTAGTAAACGAAAAGTCTTTTCGTTTACAGGCTTCGACTTTTCGTTTACAAGCTTTGACTTTTTGTGTACTAGTAAACGAGAAGGCACTTTTCGACACGGCCTGAACGTAGCAGCAATGATAAAATAGTACATTTCGTTACGAGTGCGGAAAAGAGTTTTTTGGCTCGTGGGAGGTTTATAGCACGAGCCGAAGGCGAGTGATATAATCTCAGGAGCCAAAAAACACTTTTCCCACGAGTATCGAACGATATTTTTCATCACAATGTGTGGAAAAGGGACCTAAAAAGTTACTTTTCCGCACAGCGTGATGAAAATAAAAATTTAGCTCAAGCTATGAATAAGTGTGAATAAAGAAACTCATTCATTCTTTTTAAATCAAGTTTAATAAATCCAAATAAACTATTCCTCCCTTTATTTTATTCTACGTGGTTCATCCTTCCCTTCTTTAATTATTCCACATAAAATGCCACCACAATCTATCAATTTCCTTTTTTATTATTTCTATTCTAAAGCATGATGAAAAAGATCAATAATATTCCCAGCACTCGAGGGTAGTCGATCAATCAAATTCACTGACTTGCCAAACGATGTAAGAGTGAGTGTAAAGGTCAGTCATATTTCATATCATTTTATATTGGTCCACACCGGCTGGGAATATGAGATTACAAGCGGAGTAAGAGTGATCGAACAATTTCAAGAAAAAGCACGGAAAAAAAATATCCCTAAATTGTGTGTATTCTATAGCAGAATCAAATATATGCAAAAACCTGATTCAAGAATATTATTCTTGATTCGAGTATAAAATATTCCTGATTCAAGTATATTTTAAAGCCGAATGGGGGATGGGTATTTCAAATTGAGGATGATTATTTCGTATCAGCCCGGGTTGTACCAAGCACTCTCAAGTGTAATATAAGGGTCAGACACTAAGTGTGAGACCGACGGCGGTGGCTGTGTGGTTAGAGTGTGGGATTGGCATGGGGAAGACCCGGGTTCGATTCGCGGCTGGGGGGGGGGAAGTTTGTGACACTCTAAATCTCACAGTTCCATTGTCGAGCGGGAGTCTCGCAAGAGACGACTGTACCTGGGCAGGTTTTTCCCTCAAATGAGGTTTTCCCTTGTCCTTCGGCGAATGCGGTACAGGGGTTTGGGGGAGGAGGTGAGAAGGGAGCAAATCGTAAAGGCCCGAAAGAGTATACGAGAAGAAAAAATTTAACTAGCTTTAGCACTAAGTGTGAGAATATAAAGGTCAAAAAGTGGAAGCTAAAAAATGAGGGTCGGAATATTAGAGTCAAGTTTCCAATATCCCATGACTCAAAATTATTATTAGAGTCAAAAACGGAGGGCCTGAATGTAAAGCTGAAGGAATGTGCACTGAGAGAAAAATCTGAAGTTCGATTTACAATAAGAAAATAGTTGAGGCATTTTGGTGAACAATACGATTTTTTTTGTATGCGGCACATAACATTATAGTAACTTCACAAGCGTAATTTTTGCAAATCAAAATGCAGTTAAACTGACCAAAGTTCAAAAGTAACCATGACAAATTTATCGTGAGGAGAACTATAAAATAGTTGGAATGACTACATTCCATTGTAGTAATTCCGTCTCTGGCCATAGTTACCGTAACCCATGAAAAATTGTGGAGGACTTTTTGACTATAATTCGATGGTTATGGAATATAGTCAGAAGAATTCAGTAGCGAAGCGGTAAACCGGGTTACGTTGATTTTGACTATTGGCCAGTTTTTGACGAATATCTCGGAATCTAAAAGAGATAGAAAAATTTTTGTCATGACCTTTTTATAGCTCTTAATTGGTTCTACAAAAAAGGTCATGAGAAAAATTTTGCTATCTCTCTTAGGTTCTGAGATATTCATCAAAAACTGATCAAAAGTCAAAATCGACTCAACTCGGTTTACCGCTTCACTACTGAATTATATTTTCCTCTCAGTGTGGATCAGAATATTAACCTTTGCGCCGAACCCCTCCAAAAACGCACGTTTACCGTACCCCGCGTACCCTGTCAGGCTGCTACTCCGTCTGTATCGCATTTCCCCTTTGTTTGACCGAATGAAGCAATACCTGTTGTAACTAGAGGTTTAAATGAGGGCTCAAAAGGGGAGGGTTGAACAGAAGAAACAAAACGTATAAGTGCATTTAATTTCATTTTTTTTCTTCGCGTATAAATATTTGTTAGGAATATTTTTTCATATAAATCCCACTTGTTAATCCGCGATTATCGATCTAACAAAGATATAGCATTCGTTATGAATAATTGGTACTAATTATGATTTTGTATCAATTCCCTCAGGGCATAAATTATACGAAATATTGGTGGTTTCATGCATTCATCGGTGCGAAAAAAATTAAAACCGTTTTGTATCGATTCGAAAAATCGAAATGGGAAGCTACTGAAAGTTTGAAATTTTTTTTTTACATATTACAGACTGTGAAAGTTTTGATAGCAGTCCCACAGACAGACAGTTCGGTGTAAAGATTAAGATAAAAAAATTGAGGTCAGAATATGAAAGTAAAGAAGTGTCAGGCAATGAGGGTCTAAATATATCCTTACACAGAGATCTCTGATGCTTTATTCGTTCCATTCTTTATTATTTTATCTACTAGCCGACATTAATCGTAGCCTTTCCCTAAAATCGTGGCGCCCCGGTTGATCCCTTGGAATCCTAGGATTGATGATAAGACCAGCCGAAGCAAGAGTCTATTCCCCCCATCCGCCCCTTCGGAAGTGCCGCAGCTACTTCCCCCAAATCTCCGAATGATCCTTTCATCGAAAAACTAAGGGTAAGAGTTGCCGCCAGAAAAAGTATGTGACACGCCACGAAATATAATTTTTCTCACGTTGCAGCAGGATTCTGCAATTGGAAAATTCATCTCTATTAGAAATACACTGCAATATCGAGATTTCCCTAGGGATCCTGGTACTAATACCAGACGGGAGTACCTGTCATTGTCGTTGGCTGTATTATCCTCTGTCATCTGTGCTAGGGAATCCCGATTGATGTGACGTGGGTAGAGAACAATAATTCATGGGGCTGACAGTGCATCCTTGAGGATACTCTTGAGCTCCATGAGATCCTTTCTCAAACCCTCAGTGTCACTCTTCTCCACTTCCGCCTCCTTCTTCCGGAAATAACGCATCACCAAGTGTCCCATCACTTCGCCAAACTTTTCGTCATCATCTTCGCTCAAGTTTTCCTGAAAGCAATGCGGAATTAGTGAGACAATTGATGGGAGTTAATGGCAGAACGAAGATTACGAGAAGAAAATTCTTCAGTTTCGAATATTTAACACAGTGTAAAAAAAGTTTTGATTTTCACGGGCATGTCACTGATTTTCAGGAATGTATCACCAATTATTGGTGACACTGGACACTGACTAGAGTGAGTCTGATCATCAGTAATTTCTATCACTGAAATTTGATGATAGATTCCGCAAAATTGGAGATGGGTCCGAGGGGATATTCACAGGCGTAATCGTGTTGTCACTCGCTTATTTAATCAATTGCAGGGATGGCCACACTGATAGAACGGATTAGTTATTGTTAACGAATGGATTTTGGTTGGAGGTTAGGGTCTATTCGGTCCCACCAAATGTTCATTCGTTAAGGGTGCCAAATGAATTTGAAAAAAGATTTTTTTTTAATTTTTTCTTTCCCTCCATCATTGGAGAAATATGTATTCATCCATCCGACGAAATTTCAAACCCGCAACCGGAACTAGACATCGAGAAAATAAATGCGGAAAATCCTCTATTTCGCGTGACGAACCTCGAGAAAGCATGGCATCAAATGGGTATGGCGGGTTGAAATATCTCTCTTATTCACCCCGATACCCCATTGTTTTTTGTCGCCATCACATTGAACACATCATTCCCCATATCTTCAAATTTTTTAAAATTTTTCTTGAGTTCCTAGCGGGTTGAAACGTTCAATTTAATCAAAACTCCATAAGAGGCCGTGTATAAGACTGATTTTGTTTATTTAATTTCTCGATATCCATAAGTTCTAAAATTTTAAAATTGTCACTGATGTTCACCATCTGTCTAATACTATTAATTTAAAAAATTATAACTTTGTTGGTGAATGTCAAATTTCAAGGTCATCGCTAAATTCACTTGGCACCCTTAAATCTTCTGAGTCGATTCCGTAATCGGTGAAGCGAATTGTGAGTTCCGTAATTTTTTCTGAACATTTCTCTCCGTGTGAAATATTATCACTCTGATGTTTTTTTGTAGAATATAACAATGATGATAACAGTTACTCAAAACGATACTAATTGATCATCACATAGACAACGGTAATCAGTGTAATGATTACATTTTGTCATCGCGGTGTCATCCAATTTCCCTGTGAATAGCCCCTCGGATGGGTTCCTGGAAATTAGTGACATTACTCTAAAAATTAGGGGCGATGTCCCTGAAAATTATGAGACATCTATAGACATTTAGGGAACAATCAGGGGAAATTGTAACTGTATGTCTACAGTTTACGATTAAATTCTCTCTCAAAAGAATATTTAACACGAATAAACTAGACGGAACGAGGCAGATCATTAATCCTTAATTAATTCCTTCATCGAGATGATTTCAGACTAACGATGAAGCAGCAGTGCTTGAGATCCCATTTCGCCTTCTTCGTCTCAGTCGGTTTAATTAACAGCTTTATATACTCAGCGAGCCAACGGAGGTCACTCCCAGTAGGGAGGAAATTGAAAGGCGGCGGCAGGGCGTTCTGTGCCATTATATCAATGTAGACCTGAACATAGAGAGGTAAATAAAGACAGGTAAATAGAGAGATTGGATTTTCGGGGTAAATGGTGAGAATCAAGAAACCTCGGTTCTGCCAAAGGTCCATTCCACGTCTACGTTGTCGGTGAAGGCTGTGAATGTGTTTGACATGCAGGCTATCAACATGTTCAGGACTACTATCACTGTCATGAACTCAAAACCTGATGAAAGGAGAAAGTTGGCTCGTGAATTTTGTTCAATTGGTGCATGCAACGAAACAAAATGTTTTTCAGGTATGAAAGAATTCAATGGAGCACGGACGAAAAAATTTAATAGAAAAACCTATCGAATTCGTAAGGAAACTCTATGGAATTTCTATTGAACTGTTCTGTTAGTTTTTGGCCGATTCTTTTGAAATGTTCAATAGAAAATATTCAGTAGAAAAAGTCAATAGAATTCGATATTTCTATATAACTTATTCTATTGAGATATTTTCTGTAGAATTTCCTCGGCTCAAATTTTCCAAGTTTTTTCGTTTGTTTTTATTGATGAGAAGAAAAGAAAAGTAGAATAAAAATAACTTAGAAAATTTGAGTCGAGCAAATTCTGTAGAAAATATATGAAGAGAATAAGTTATATAGAAAAATCGAATTCTGTTGACTTTTTCTATTGAATGTTGTCTATTCAACATGTCAATAGAATCAGCCAAAAACTAATAGAAAGTTTAGTAGAAATTCAATAGAATTTTCTAACGAATTCGATATAGGTTTTTCTATTAAATTTCTTCGTGCGTGAGAAACAAGGCGCTCTCTCTACACTGGGAGAAAAATCTGAAGTTCGATTTACGATAAGAAAATAGTTGAGGCATTTTGGTGAACGATACGATTTTTTTTTGTATGCGGTACATAACATTATAGTAACTTGACAAGCGTAATTTTTGCAGATCAAAATGCAGTTCAACTAACCAAAGTTCAAAAGTAACCACGACAAATCTATCGTGAGGAGAACTATAAAATAGTTGCAATGACTACATTCCACTGTAGTAATTACTTCTCCGGCCATAGTTACCGTAACCCATGAAAAATTGTTGAGGACTTATTGACTATAATTCGATGGTGATGGAATATAGTAAGAAGAATTATATTTTTCTCTCGGTGTAGGAGATTCCCGTAAAATTTTATTGAAATTCTATGAAAAATGTATTTTTGTGCTTTTCCATAAATATTTTCCATCGAGAAAAGTCAGTAGATGTTAATTGTTTTCCACAATTTAATCTGTTGCAGTTTTTTATTTTTTTTAAAGCATTTTTGGACATGACTTTACCAATTGTTTTCTCTCGTATTTTTGATAGGAAATAAAAAGAAAAAACGAAAAAGAGTGAATAAAACCTAGCATTTTCAGTAAGAATAATTCTATTGATGTTCTATTCGAATTCCGTTCAACAACTATGAAAAATTTTATTCATTCTTTGGACCGAATTTTATTGAAAATTATGCAACGGTGTCGTATCAAATAATTTCAAGAGACATTTCATAAAAAAGTCAACAAAGTTTCTTTTTATAGTTTATTATCATATTTTTTTTCTATCGGAAATCTTGAGCATGAATTTCTCAAGCTTCTTTTCTGACATTTTCTAATGACAAATTGATATCGAAGAATTTCGATCTCGGCGGAATAATTCGCACAGAAACATCTAAATCTCTCTATTTTTTCATCACTTGTGCGTAAAGCGAGATTACACGCACGCTTCGCGTCCGCAAAATCCCACTTTCCACACATTATGATGAGAAATAGGATTCGATAATCGTGGGAAAAGTGTTCTTTGACTGTTGGGAGGGCAGTAGTCCCCTTCCACGGATCAAAAAACACTCATGTGCACTCGTATCGAAATATACTATTCTCTAAACCTCTTCATTAATAGTATATTTCGATACGATTGCGGAAAAGTGCTTTAGGGCTCGTGGGAGATTTATAGCACGAGCCGCAGGCGAATGATATAATCCGACAAGTCTAAAAACACTTTTCCCGCGAGTATCGACCCCTATTTTTCATCACAATGTGTGGGAAGTGGGGTTTTGCGCACGCGGAGCGTGCGTAAAATGTCACTTTACACACAGCGTGATGAAAAATTTATTTGATAATTTATTTATTTGTTTGTTTCCTTTATTTGAAAGAAAACAGTTATGTCCTGTGTTCAACAAGTTTAACTACATTGCAACTGGATTATTAGTTACCGGCGAAGGCGAAGTACCCAATGCCCTCAGTGAATGAATGTTTATTTATAATGGTTTCAGACTCCGTCTCCCCAGGTAGATTCTCGATTATGACGTCAGCGCTCTCGATAGCACTCATGCAAAAAACTGCCCAGAAGAGTGTCCTCAAGCTTGACCTGAAATCCACGAACGAGGCCACTTGTTGGGTTTTTATTTTAGACTCATCATCGATCTGCACCATTCCATCGTAGTATTGATACAATTTTGCAAGACCTGAGAGGAGAATCAATAGACAAATGATGATGTGATTCAAGGCGCAACAAGTGGAAATTTGTTTTTTCCTTCTGTTGAATGTATTTTGTGCTAATAAATTAACAATTGACTTGTAAATCAACTTGTTTTTCTGTTTTAGAAACATTGTGATTATGAAAACAATTGATTTGATTGAATTTTGTTAGATTTCTCTGTTATAAAAAATATTTATTCAGCATTGCAAACACGCGAACAATTTTCATTTTTTTTCTGCTGTTAGACAGAGTTATTTCTCAATACGCACGGGCTACAGGCACCAGTGCGTAGTTATATGAGACTCAAAGTTTGAAATTGCCTTGGCAATTGGATTCAGTATATTTTTTCATATCGCCCTCTATTTTTATTTTTGGAGTTTTTCACTAGGCGCATGATCCACTTGAAAATAAATCCCATGAGAATTTGTGTCCTTTCTAAAAAAAAAGCATGAGCAATATCTCGAAACAAAAATGAGAACCCGAATACAGCGGATGTTCCGAACGAATTGGAAAAAGTTAAAGAGGAAAGGCAGTTTTGATGGATACAGTCCTGCTGCGTCGCATTTTTTTGATTACCATTCGATGAAACATGAATGGCTCCCAATTGAGTGTTAATTTTTAATTTGGTGCTGGAAACACGAGATGACAATATTTTAAGCACGTAATTATATTAATGAGATGAGCAACAGATTGATTGAATTACCGTGTGAACTAACTAACAATTGATAACAGTGTGGGCAAGCACTTTTACCAGAGTATCAACAAACATTGAATTCCAGAAATTCACACTCCAAAGTGTGTTTTAGACGGAATTGATCTATACTTATGAATAAAATCTTATTCAGTGAGCATAGAGGAATTAGAACATGAGCAAATAATTTATTATCATATAAAGTTTAGCAGCTGACAAATTGGGAGGTATGATTCTCACCGGTCGTATTGCTTTTTGCAATGAGAATTATTATAAACAATTGATTGAAAAAAGGAGTATCGAATCTGACAGGAAAAAGTGAATAATAAAAGCCTGATATAATACAAAATTGTTTATTTCATTTCATAAAACTACGGTAACTAATTTTTCTTAAATATCAGGAATGTTGGTTTCATGTATTCCCCCATCAATCTAAAAAATCAAAGAATTTTCATTCTTTCAACATGAAAAAATTCATTTTTCCGAAAACGGAAGTGGACTTATCTCCCAGTTGAGTTTTCGAAGAATATTTCCGAATCTAAGAGAGATAGCAAAATTTTCATAATTATATTGTTTGGTGAGGAGCTAGGTTTAGGGTGGTTGTGGGTGTGTGATCAGAGGTGAGGCCGGAAAATGAATTCTAACACTGTTTCATAAAATCACAGTTTTATTGTGGGATCGAACCACGTCCTAAAATACTATATACACTTTATACACTTGTCACTCAATTTAGTTCGTTGAGATTCTCAAATGAATATATTGTCTAAATTGATAATTTACTGTTGAGTCACTATTAAATGTCGTTGATAATTGTCTATCGATAATTGCAGTAACGATTAAATCTAACTCAAATTGTGAGGAACTGTACACGTTGAGAGACGCGTCGAGATGCGCCTTCCGTTGATTCTACTCAAATGTTTCGATAATTCACTGCTGATGTACTTAATTCGTTGAGAAACTATAATACTTGTTAATTCACTAAATCTACGTTGATTTGACTCTAATGTTGATATTCTATATCATTTCTACTGAGTAGATGAACTGAACTAATAACTGATTTGATAATCTATTACATGGCTGTTGAACTGCCGAGCGATTACTCTGACGGACCTTTTCGTACTACTACCTTTCCGGGTGATTCGCTGACTCTTGACTGTTGACCCGAAGGGTCCCGATTGATTTCGAAGATTACCGACTTAATTCCCCGCTGAACTTATAGAATGATGACTATGTTTCAAACATATATTTATTGTAGCTCTCAATCGGCTCTACAAAAAAGGTTTTAACAAAAATTTTGCTATCTTACTTAGTTTCCGAGATATTCATTGAAAACTGGCCAATAGTCAAGATTGTCTTGTACCGTTTTACCACGTCGCTACTGAATTAGACTCATATGAGATGGAATTTTTTCACTGACTTGATTTACCTGCGGCAAAGGCCGTAATAATTATGAGAAAAAGGAACAGGAATTTAGTGACATCCTTGATCATTTTTCCCAGTGACATCTGAAGGGGCCCGAGATTGTAATCGAGTTGACACACGAAGAGCAGTTTGAAAAATGCCATGATAGTTGCAATGCAGAAGAGACCCTCTGCAACTAGAGTTGGATCGAACATGTGCCAGTATTTTCTCTCAAGGTCCCTCTGGCCATTTCTCCGGACGTCAATAGCCGCTAGAGCCCAGAAGACGAACGTCAATATGAACAGAGCGAGCATTCCAACTTCATATCTATTCAAAATTCAATGAATAATCATTGGAGTATAATCTTTGGTGGAGCACGAGGGGCCTTACGGCAGAGAATTTTGTTAAAAAACCGTAAAAATCATGCAGTTTTGTCGTGCAATTTTCGAATCAACATTTTCATTTTTCTATCCAACTTATTCTGTTTCGATTTTTTCTGTAAGAATTCTTGGGTATTTCTGAATGTTTTTTCCTTGGAATTTTAATAAGATCAAAAAGGAATATCTCGGAAAAACTCAAGAGAAATAAAAATCTATTGACAATTGTCTATCAAGTATCTATCAAAAAATCATGTGAAATTTTTTTTTCTAGGGAAATTTTTCCTTTGAATTGCCCACTAAAAATTTTTATGACTCTAATATAAATTATTAAGTCATATTTTTTACAAATTATTAGAATTAATTATCATCACTTCTTGATTTACGTACAAATTCCAACGTTCTCCGAAATATCTTCGTGGCCCATGTGTCATGCAGAGTCGAATTGCCGCCCAAACATATGAAATAACATAAAAACAAATAATAACTTCATATCCTGGAAGTAAAAGAGACATTTTTAATTGGCGTTTAATTGAAGAATTGATGAAGACAGAACGTTTGAGGCACTTGCCACTGTTCGGTGGCCCTCGAAGCTGATTCTTCTTATCGACATTCGCCTCAAGGTACACGAAAACGAGAAAAATGAGGTAACTGGCCACCGAGGAGATGTATCGATTCACGGGTATTTGCCACTTTTTCGCTATTTTCGAGTTCGGTGCGATCAGAAGCCACATGGCTATGATTGGGAGGAGGGGAATCCTTTGAAGGACTGTGAAGACTTTTGCAGTACCTGATTTCGCCTTCCACTCGTACCAGTTGCCAATCCATCGAGTTTCTATTACCTGACGAAAATCGTGTATTTTGATTCAAGTGCGATGGGGTTTTCACGAGTGTGAGATTCGAGGCCCGAGGGAAAGCCGAGAGATAATGTGAACAGTAGAATGAACAACAGTATGTGACAGTCCACTGTACGACAATTTTTCCAACAGTGCAACTGTTTTGAAGTGGACTTGTTCCGAGGGGCTGGTCACTCCTCAATCGAGTGACTCAGTGATTTCCAGAATCAGATGATTTCCAATGATTTCCTGTTGATTTCTGTGATTTCTCGAATGATTTTTGTGATTTCTCAATCAGCATTAAAAATCATGATTTCTTTCTATTTTTTGTCGTTCTATTTCCATGATTTGTAGTAGATTCTAATGATTTCTTCCTTTCAATAAATCACTGGAGAAATCGTGATTTTGGGACCAGAGTGGTGCATCTGTCGATAATGGTAGTTTTCTACATGACGTTGCTCTTCATAGCGTCCCATTTCGGGATTGGGCGATTTCGAATGCACCAATACCATAACAAAAATTGTTATGAGTTATGTAATTGAGTTAATTGAGTTAAAACGGCAAAATCAATTTTGATTTTACACTTATCGATCGTTTCTAATGATTTCGTAAATCACCTGATTTATTTATGATTTCTATTGACTTCCGATGATTTCCAGAAATCTTTAGAAATCACTACCGAAAATTGAAATCACTTGATTTCCAGTGATTTCCATTGATTTCTGGCGATTTCTTCCTTGATTTCCAGTCGAGGGGTCCAGTGATTACCTAAGTGACCAGCCCCTTGAATTGTTCTCTCCCGTCTGCCCCTCCCTGCCCCCCAACCGTAATTTTCCAAATGTCTAGGTGAAAAGAAATTAAACTTACTTGTTGTACATTGGGATGAGCAACAAACAGCTTCTGCTCGCACTCAACGGCAAACAACAGTCTCGGAAAAATGAATTTCCTCGCTTGTACATTTCCCCCCCGCTGTTTAAGTACAATCTCAACCTCCTCCGCTTTCCTCGCACAGCCAATGAGCTCAGCAGCGAAGTAAGCGACTTCCTAATGTCAAAACACGCGCCACTTTACAAAAGAAGAATGTGGATTTCGATGTAACACACCTGGGACAGTTGCTTGTAAGATTTATAAAGCTCACGCTCAAACGAGGCGGCTTTGTCGAGGACAACTGACAGCTGGAAGGCCTTCAGAATTGGATCGGGCGAGGTATGACAGATGTAAGCTGGATTTGCCACAGCGCGGTAACGATACAACCGCTTATTGTCGAGTGTTAATGGATCTTCAATATCTCTCTCTGGTCTGGACAAACAAAATTAGAAACTCGTTAAGACCACGAGATATTCAAGAAATAACGAGTTTTTATTTTCATGGACATGTCACTGATTTTCAGGGATTCATGCCTAATTTTTAGGAATCAATCCACAATTATTGGGGATTTGCGAGTGTGGAATTCAACGAGTATGAAATTCTGGAATTCAGTAATTTTGTCGCTAATTTTTAGAGACATCACACGGAGAGAAATATTCAATAAAAATTACCAGAAAAAAGACGTAAAAATTACGTTTCGAAACGTAATCTGGGAGCGAAGTAAAATTCAATAAAAAGTGTCAATCGTCACGTAAATTCTACGATCTGTTCCGTAAAAATTACTCATCCGTCCGACGGCTAGCCATGAGTCACCGTGAGGGGGAGATTTTAACAACACGTTCCGTAATTTTTCCGGAACTTTTCGTAAAAATTCAACTCAACAAACAAATCGTAAAAATTAACTCAATTTAAGATTTTACAACTTCCAGAAAAATTACGTGACTTTTTCGTATTTTTTCGGTGACAGACCCGAAAATTTACTAAACGTTTCAGATTTATGCTCTTATATTCCTATAGAAATTCACTGAAAACGATTCTCGCTTGCGGATTACGTGAAATGTTCCGTAATTTTTCTCGAATATTTCTCTCCGTGCACTAAGTTTCCATGACATCGTCACGAATTTCCAGGGCAATCCAGCGCTTTTTCCAAAAAAATTGATTGAATTTGCATTGAAATTTGAGTGTAATTCTGTAAAAATGTCTAAAGAATTTGTTTATTGCCCCTGTTTCTATTGAAAATGATGTGACTTCGTCGACATTTCTCAATGGATAGTTCATCGAAAGAAGTCAATAGATGATGATTTTTCTACGGTAGTGTGTTGCTGGCCCAACTCAAAGCGGTTCAATTTTTTTCATGTTTAAATCGACATTTAGACGATGAATGTTAGAAATTTCTAGAATATTCTGAAATATTATTGAAGCATCACTAGAGTGACTTGATGATGAAAGGGCCTCATAGGTAAATTCTCAAATCAATCGAAATTTTTATAATTTTTTATAGTAATTTTACAGTAAAATTCCTATTTAGTTCCCACAAATATTTCCATTGGCGAGATGATTTTTACGTAATTTTACCGTGAAATTACGTAAAATTTATATAAACATTCCCTCACAGCAAAGAGTTGTATCAGTTTCGAGTTTCCAGAACGTTCCATGATTTTACCAAGCGATAGCTTCTGAATTAATGGCAAAATTCTTGAAGATTTCTAGAACATTCTAGAGTTTCCCAGACCATTCGTAAACTTTCCAGAGGGTTCTGTACCGTTCTGAACCTTTCCTGAACTTCCCAGAATCATGATTTTCTGGAGAAACGGGGAGATCTCAAATCATATAGAGTATGTAAGATAACACTCCTTCAAGTATCTTCCTATTTGAATCAACGACGTCGTTAACTCGTCTCTAACTAGATCGAAATTCGATTCAAGATGATGAAATCTACTTGAAATGACTACATTGTCAACTCGACTCAAAATTTGACACCCAGAAACGGAAAAAAAAATTCAATACCAATCTCAGGATACTGAGATCAACCAGAGACTCCGGATTGAATCCTTCTTTCTTTTTTCCGTTTCAAATTTGGATAACACCGACGTCGGTGGCCGAAGCGACTAGGTGCGAGCCTAGTGTGCGAAAGTTGTGAGTTCGATTCCCCGTGGAACCGAGTTTTTCAACCGGAGGCTCCGGCTAGCGGGAGGTCGCTAATATAGTGACCGCCTGTACCGGCATGGGTTTTCTGTGGTTTCCCATGCTACTCCTATGTTCTATAGGAGTGCAAATGCGGTGCAGTGTAGAATCCACAGTCGCATGCATAGGGTTGGATAGTGCCGATTAGCCAATCAAAGGGCAGAAAGGGCCGGAATATAAAAAAAAAAAAAATTGGATAACAGCTTTGTTACGAAATACTTGAAGACCATTTATTCGGCTCAAATATAGTCGATTTGATCCCTCCAGGGATCGGCAAAAATATTACTAAGTCATTTTAGAAAGAAGTTTAGCGTACATCAATCGAATCTATGAAAAAAAAGCCGGAGGAAAAAAACAGCTCCGGAAAAAAAAGCCGAATATGGATGGATTTTAACACGTGATCAGTGCGTCGGCTTTTTTTTCGGTGGCTTTTTTTTCCGCCTACCAATTAATCAAAGTTCACTGCTTTATGATTTAAATTTGAAAATAATTTTCAATTCTCAATTATAATGAAACAATTCTAAATATCTGAATTTGATTTGTGAATTAATCTAATAATCGTCTACCTTGCGAATTTGAAAAATTAAAAATATTGATTAATAATTAATTTGACAAAAATTAAAAAATTCTACAATACAGTGACCTGATATTATATGAAATAAAATAATTTTAATACTGTATTACGATTTTGGTTCTCTCTGATCCAAAAAAACATTTTTCCAAAAGCCATTCCCGAAGAGGAATCGTCACCCATCTATAATTCCCTCCTCCAGCCCCACAAACCCCGAATAATGAGTCCCTCAAAATTTTACTTGCAAATTTCATCGCAGCAGCAGCTGGGTGGATGTGGTTCCTCGATGACATGTCCCCTGGCCGCCAGCATCTTGATCATCTCAAAATGTCCACAACTGGCAGCCACATCCATCGGCGTAGTAGCATCCGGAAACTCGGAGCTATCAATTGGCCCAGTGAACTGCGACCCCGGCACCTGACTCTCCATCTTATCCAGAATCATCATAGCAATCTTCTGCTCATTGTCTCTAATCGCATGAAGAGCAGTGTCACCGCAATCAATATCATCTCGAGACAGAAGTAGCTCGACCATCGCCACATCCCGCTCTTTGACAGCAATATGCAGAGCCGAAAGGTTCTTGAAGAATGAAAAAAATGGAGGAAACATGAAAGAAAAAGAAAACGGGCCCCATTCATCCGCAAGGCCCACCCAGACGGACGCGTGCGCCATTGGACAGTGTTTAGGGAACTATTGAGAGAGTCAAAAAGAGAGGGGCAAGGAGTCACAGCACGAGGATAATAGAAGAGTGGGACTTTTGGTTACGTAAAGAAACATAAAACATAGGTGAGTGTATTCTTGTGCCGACAAAGGTGACAGTGTCCCCTGGTGAGAATTCCCTCGACGCCTCTTTCTGTCGGAATTCTTCGACCCGCCATGGGGCTCTGGTGTTTATAGGCTTCTTGACAAAAAAAAATCCTTGGGAAAGCCGACGTTTTCGGATTTCAAGTAAAATAAATATCGTATTTTGAGATATTTAGGAATTGCGGATGAGAATGGAATTCTGGTGGGTGTAGTACACGGAGAGAAATATTCAATAAAAATTACGTATCTTTTCTGTAATTCCGGAGCGAATTGTGGTTGTAGGAAATTTTACGAAACTGTCACGGAATTTTTCCAGAGCGTTCCGTAATTTTTCACTGAATCTCCTGTGAAAAATTACGATACCGTCACTTAAATTTTCTGAGTCGATTCCGTAATCGGTGAGCAAACTGTGAGTTCCGTAATTTTTACGAAACATTTTTCTCCGTGTATAGTGGAACAAAGTGAAATCGAAATATTTGTTGATGGGTGTTATTTCGGGGGTGAGCGATTTTAAAAGGAAATGTTGAAGGATTTTTTGTTTATGAAACTCGCAAGAGGTGCAACACCGCTCGTCATTGGGATAATTTTATTGTTGTGAACAATTTATTGGGTATTGGAAATTTGCTAGAATCATGAATCGTTATCAAAAATGGGGCCGGAAGATTTGACTTTCATCTTATCGTTATTGAATCACTACTACACCGCTGCTGCACCGCTACTGTACCGTCGTTGCACTACTACTGTAGCACCATTATGTCGTTACTGTATTTTGAATGCATTTCTTGAAGCTTTTTTTGAGCGGTACATGCATCGCAGTGGCGGTATGTAAACGATATAACAGCGGTACAGCTACTATAGTGGGATTACAGTTGTGGTATCTCTATCATAGTACTATTACAGTAGCAGTAGAACTGCGATTGTGACGATATAACAGCGGTAGAGCTATTATTGTAGCTGTGTAGCAGTACTAGAACTACTATTGCGACGGTATAGCAGTGAAAATGGTACAGTGGCGGTTTAGTGATGTTATAACAGCGGTTAAGCAACTATATAGTGGCGGTATGGCAGCGGTATATCTATTAGTACGGGTATAGCATCGGCAGAGCTACTATAGCAGGATTACAGTAGTAGTATATCGATCATAAAACTAACTACAATAGCGGTAGAACTACTATTGTGGCGGTAAAGTAGTGGTGCGTCAGAACTGCCGTATGAAAAAGGTACAGTGGCGGTTTTGTGATATTATAACAGCGTTTAAGCAACTATATAGTGGCGGTATAGTCACTATAGTAAGATTACAGTAGTAGTGTATCAATCATAGAACTACTGAAGTAGCGGTAGAACTACTATTATGATGATATAGCAGCAATTATTGTGGCGGTATAGCAGTACTAGAACTACTATTGTGATGGTATAGTAGTGGTAGAACTACTATTGAGGCGGTATAATAGTGGTGCGTCACACATGCGGTATGAAAAAGGGACAGTGGCGGTTCAGTGAGGTTGTAACAGCGGTTAAACTGCTATATTTTGGCGGTATAGCACCGGTATATCGATGACAGCATTTATATCATTACTATCACACTGTACAGTAGTAGTACACCTACTATAACACCGGTATACTGACGCTATAGCAGCGGCACAGTAATAGTGCGATTTTCCTTTGGAAAAAAAAGAAAAATCAAGTGACAGGCCATAATAGTTTGACCTTTTACATCTCTTAAAACTTTGAATTATTTACATAATACGTCGTGTTGAATAAAAAACTAGATGATCTTTTTTGTTAAAAATTTTATCAGCTATAAAAAATTCCCGAACATTTTGCTCTAAAATCACTCGTAATCACGATAATTAAACTATTAACTAAAATTTAATTTTCCACATATCACATTCTACCAATTTGTTATATGACTATGAATGAATTAATTCTCCTCACTTCGAGATAATCGTTCACGTATTTCATTTGAATGAAGAATTTCGATACTTAGGAACATTCCAAACGAAAACGATTGAGAATCATTTAGGCTGGAATTTGAGATCATTCTAATATTCTTGTTATCCTCAAACATCTCTTGGAGTCATTGTCTTGTAAAGTTACCGCCATTGAATTATGGCGGTAGATACTAGAGGGCCCTGAAGAAAAAAAATGCCCGAGAGGAATAGGTGAAGGTGAAGTATGCAATGGAGGGAATAACGTGTTGCTTCTTGTTTAGAGGGGTGGAGATTCTAGATAAGGTAAAGGGACAGTTATTCCTACTACCTTTCTCCAGACTTTTATCGCTTTTGTGGATAACCTTCGGGATGTGTGTTTCTGTGAATTCTGTGGAGACGAAGGGGTTGACAGCATGATATATAGTTTTTTAAACAAATTCTCGCGTTTAGGGGTACCGAGAATTGATTTTTATATTTTCTACGAATTTTTTCATGAGTTTTCGATTCCAGAAATTCGCTGTACAATTTTATGCAGTTTTTTCGTCACTTTTTATTTACGAACATTCATTTTATCGTTTCCTGTTCGTTGTTCTCCTTTTTTTCTCCAAAAAGTGATTCGAGAAAAAAAAGTCACGAAATTTTTTTCGAAGTTTTACCAGCTGCAAATAGAATCTCGTGACATTGTGACATCTCGTAGAATTTCCTATTTCTGAGATAATTTTATAATTAGGAAAGGTGAAATATGATTTTTTATGTTTCGAGAATTATCTTCAACTCATGTCTGGATTTTTTTTATTGAGAAGGAAGTTAAGCACTCCAACAAGAATTATTTTCGAAGTAATTACGCCCTAATCACCACAACATCATATTACTTTCTCGCAATATTTTATGTCTCGTTTTATTGTTTCCGATTGGTTTTTCTCCTTGTTTTTCTTTTTATTATCTTGATCATGGAATTTCTGGAGAAAAATGATTTGAGAAAAAAAGGTTCTTAAATTTTTTTGGCAATTTTGCCAGCTCCAAATAATATCTTGTCACATTTTCCCCTAGAATTGCCTATTCCTGAGATAATTGTATAATTACGAAGGATGTAATATGATTTGTTACGTTTCAAGAATGGTCTTCAACTCAACCTCACAATTAGAATTTATTTATTTAGAAGGAAGTTAAGCACTCCAACAAGAAATTTTTTGAAGTAATTAATCCTTAATCACCCCAAAATTAAATTATTTCTCTCTATATTTTCATTTCTCATTGTGTTCATCATGAAATTGTTCGGGAATGAGAGATTTTCAGAGAAACTGTTATGGAAAGCTTTCTGCAGAAAATGTTGTGAACGCAAAAAAAAAACAAAAAAAATAATCCGATTTGTTACATTCAATTCTGATTGGGATTCCTTACACTTTATGAGGAGTAAAGCTCTCCAATAAGAACTTCTTCCGAAGTAATTACGCCCTAATCACTGGGAAACTCATTACACCCCATCACTCTCAGAATTACCTGAAAGTTTGCTGAATTGATCTTGAACTCTCGATTCGCACCAAGGAACTCTTGAACTCCGGTCACGTTAGCACTCGCCACAAGCTCGAAGAATTGCTTCTCCAACTCCTCCAATTGCGGGAGAATGACCCCGGGAATCTGGCCAGTATCTTCAATCTGTTCACCCCAATCTTTTTATTACTCCATTTAATTTTTTTTTCAGTTATTTCTTTGAATCGATTTCTGTACTGAATTAGTCTCACTTTCTCCACTTCCTGATCCCTTTCCTCATCGTCTGGAGATGTTGTTGGGGGTGGAGGTGGTGGCGGTGGCGGTAGAGGTGATGGTGGAGGTTCCATCCTACTTCATTCCATTTATTTCATACCTTTATTGAACATTGAAAAAAATTTGAATATTCCACCGCCATTAATTAGGCAGCATTAATTAGCCATTCGGAAAAATTTCACTTCCATTCGTCCCCACTTCGACCTTCAGATGAGTGCGAGAAATAGTATATTTCCTACCAAGGGAGGGAAAATAAAGGAGTCGTGCCCACGTGCAGAATTGTCGTGGTCAGCACGTGGGTAACCACGGCCGGTGTGATGAAAAAAATAATTTGATATTTTCACCTACAATCCCTCACTCGCCAGATATTTGCATAATTGATATGAATATTACGTCTTTCTTAATTATGTAATTAACTCGGCAATTATTGATTTTAGAAGACAATGTAGTACGACAAAGAGCTTCCGCCGTTGCCTTTTCAACTCCCGCGACATAATCTCATAATCAGCAGAATAAGAAAAGTCGACTTACTACGTTGCACAACTTCGATCCAGATTTATCTCTTCAGCGCTAATGGATATTCCAAGTGAATTAAACTAAGATTAAAGTCTTTTAATCCCTTGAACTAGAAGGAAAGTAAAAGGTTAACGTTTCCACGAGAGTCACGGTGCATCGCCTGAAGCGAGTTTCCTTGGAGACGTTCAATTCACAACAGAATGAAGATAAGAAGAGATAAAAACGAAAAATAGAAATAAATGAACGACTTGAAAAAAGGGTCATTCCATCCTTTTCGTTCTAATTTAATCATTTAAGTTTTTCCTTATATACCGTTAGGAAAGAATGAAAGTTTCATGGACAATTAACTAGTAATTTTGAGGAAAGTGCCATTGAATTACATTGAGGGACAAAAATCGTGAAATTTTTTATTTCACTGGAAATTTCATGAAAATTCAAATTTTTGAGCGACAGAAGGACGAGAATTACCCAACTTACTTGAATAAAATGAAAAAAACATGAATATTTAGTACTGAATTACGCGAAATTTCCATTGATTAAAAATGCAAGGATATATTTACCTAAGCTTTCCGATTTTATATAAATCTTTCTGGAATAATTTAGCTGCAATTCACAGCTTCAAATGATTTTTCCATGGAAATTGGGATTTTTAATGACGAAATTCCTTGAAATTTGAGAGGAGTTATTATGTGATGAAAACTTTAATCAAAATTTTTTACAGTCCAAGTTTTCTTCTTCTTCTTACATAAATATATAGTATATTTTAGGGTGAGTGCTGTGCGATTTTTTGCTCGCGTGAAGATGGTGTCCGAGTCGAAGGCGAGAACTGGTCAACCACGCGAGTAGAAAAGCCCCATGACACTAGTCGTGATATTTTTCCGTAGTGGTTTTCACTTTCACGAGTTTGGGGAAGGGCCAATGCCAATCCCCGGACGAGGAAAAGTGAAGGTCAGTACGGAAAATAAATTTGTTGCCTTTTTCTCGTCATTCCCGCAAAAACGATCAAATGAATTTCAACCGGATGTTCTCTGTTGATTAGATTAGCTTCCGCATTCTAACATAAACTATAAATTATTGCGCTCAGTTGCATACAAGAAAAAGCGCTACATCTTGAAGAATGTTGGGCTGAAAATTCCAATACAGTCCCATGCAATCAATGATTCCATTGAAGTTTGAAAAAATTTCGTCATTGAAAATTCAAAATGTTATAGAAAAATCAATGAAAGCTGTTAATTTTAGTTGAATTAGTCCATGAAAATTTACATAAATCAAGAAAATTTAGGTGAATATATTCTTGGATTTTCAATGGATTGAAAATTGAGGATTATTTGACATTAAATATTCATGTTTTTTTCTTAATTCAGGTGAGTCGGGCAATTCTTATCTTTCGGCTGCTCAAAAATTTAGAATTTCATTCAATTTTTATTGAATTGTTGGTTTTGTCATTTCGTTAAATTTCTATTTTTCTTTAACAGTGGAAAGAAAGTTCCAACATTTTCAGGAAATTTTCAGGATTTCCTTGGATTTCCTTGGAAATAATTGGAAAAAAAGTATTGCACTACAACTTTTTAGAAAAATCTAGGGAGTTCTCAAATAAAAAATATCCTTGCATTTCTATAAATTTCAAGAATATTTTCGAATTTTCTAGTAATTACGGGAGAATTTGGGGGAAAATCCAAAAAATCTTCGGGTGTTCAAAGAAATTAGAGAATTATTGTGGATTCTTGGAAAAATTGGTGATCTTTTTTTATATTAAGAACAAATCACAATGTAAGGGAAAGGAATTCTCTGGACAACGCCACGGGAGCTAGCAATAAATAAGCAACAAAAATAGTTTCCTTTTATGATATGAGTCTATTTTTTTCGTCAATATATATACATAATTTATAAAATTTGTTTCATCTACATACAAATAATATTATTATTGAAATAATCGATAATATAATATATAATAATTAATAAAAATAACGCACTGTGTGTTTTTAATCTGTTTTCTGGTATATAACTTAAGCATTTCACATGGAAAATAGCACATTATATTAAGAACAAGAGCTGCTCATTTGCAATTGATTTCCCAATTTTTTCTAACTTTTTTTGTTTATTAAACCATTACTCGTTATTACTAACAAAGCTAATAATAATTAATAATTAGAATAAAATAGAGGGGAAAGAGGCTATAGTACAGTCGCTTACGGTCACCCGATAAATATGATAGAATTAAAAAAATATTAATTATAATAATAAAAATATCAATAATTATTGGCGATAACATTCATTGATTTTACAATAAAATAGACAAGTTTTTTTTATTTACAGAATTTCCCTGGTCTCAGTTATTCTTGAATAATCATGAACACTGGAGACACCGGATTGAATTAATTTAATCGATTGAAAAAAAAGAGAGTACAGAGTAGGTGATGAACACTGGCCAACTTTTGTCTAACTTTTTTTTTCTACACTTTGTTAAAACAAAATTGAATTAAATAGTCGTCATAGCTCGATGGGTCACATACCCATTGTCACACTGATCCGTGCGAGTGTCGAGAAATTCGTCTGACGAACTCCCCGATAATTCCCTAATTACAGATGATTATGGGATTAATTCCGTGGTGAAGTGGTTGATGGAAAGCTCTGGAATTTTGTACAGACTATTTCGTGAATATCTCTGGGACTATTGGAGTTGAGAAACAGTGTAAAAAGCATGTTTCGTATAGAATTTCAAGAAACGAAAATGGTCTGTGATAGGGGAATGAGATAAAGCGAAGTGGGATTCCCCGATTTCTTTCCATTTTCAAGGCATATTTTGAAGCTTCATAGTAAGACCTGATTCACTTGAGCATATGATTTAGACAAGGGATATTGACGATTGTTGATAGTCCGTTTTACCCCACTGTCTCTTATCATTGTTTAAACCCCATAGTTTTCGAAATATTTGAAAAAATTCATGGATTTAGAGATGAAATGTAAAGAGAAATTGGATACAGACTATTTTTTGAATATCTCTCCGACTATTAGAGGTGGGAAAAAGTATAAGAAACATTTTTTGCGTAGAATTTGAAGAAACGGAAATGGTCTGTGATAGGGGAGTGGGCTAAAGCGAAGTGGGATTCCCCGATTTCTTTCCATTTTCAAGGAATTTTTTGAAGCTTCATAGTAAGACATGATTCACTTAAGCATATGATTTAGACACGGGATATTGACGATTGTTGATAGTCCGTTTTACCCCAATGTCTCTTGTCATTGTCTAAAGTTTATAGTTTTTAAAATATTTGAAAAAGTCTATGGGTTTAGGAATAAAATATAAAAAGGAATTGGATACAGACTATTTCTTGAATAGTTCTGGGACTATCGGAGTTGGAAAAAGGTTTAAAAAACATTGTCTAAGCGTTAAAAAACGTTTCATACGAACTAAATTCAAACTTCCAGAGAAATTTTCAAAAACCCTATTGTTATGTTTGAGCATTGTTTTCCATAATTTCCTAAAAACCTCCAAGCCAACTTCACCACTCAATGAAAGAATAACCTCCACCAATTTCTGCTCAATGAAAAAGCTCCTCGCGTTCATTAATTAAAAAAAAACACCGGTATGTTCTCCACGTGGATGCCCATCTCCACAATAAAAAATATTCAGTACAGCATGGAGGGGGGTAGAACGTACGTGGAAATCGAGTAGAGGAAGTTGGCATACCAGTGGATGCCCTCTGGCCTATTCCACCTCGAGTCCACCGACTTTGAGCCTTTGATCTCATTGGTGTCATTGTCCTGGATCTCACGGGAGTACCAGAAGAAGTCTTTAACACTTTGTAGTCCACTGCTGACGGTCGAGAGTACCCTCAACGGGAAGAATCCGACTTGAGCGACTGTTTGACTGTTGACGATTGCATAGCACGAGGCGACGACATCATCGACAACTACTGTGCCCTCCCTGGTAAGGGGGGCGTAGAGGCCCTCCTCCAGGACGAGTTTAGCCTCGACTACGTCGTCCCACCTGACTCTGGAGCCACCGGGGAGCGTTTTGTCGTCGTCCCTGACTAAGATTCTGTCTCCGACCTGGACGTTGGCTGCGTAGAAAGTGCTGCTAGGGGTCTTCAGGTCCTTGGGCTCCACCGGGACCAAGTGGGATGGCGTCAAGGTCAGCTGTTTTCCCGAGGACGTTGTTAGACGGATGAACTGTCGTTTCGATGATGGGGCGTAGTCCAGGAAGGCTATCATCTCGGAGAAGACTATCTCTCCGTTGGAGTCCAAGGAGGCTATCTCCTCACCGACTTTCAGGGAGGAGAGGGGCTTCGGCCCTATCGGCGTTAGGACTGAACTCCTTCCGGGGAAACAACCTCCTGATTTCCCTACTGATGAAGATTCTGGAAGCAGAAAAAAGGGGGTCGTTATTTTTTAGGGTTTCAACAAAAGGTCTCTTGATGATTTGTTGGTGAATAGGGAAGTGGTGGAGCGCAGTTTCCCATATTTTTCCTAGTCATTCATTCTACATAATCTATGGATAGATGGAGTAGAAAGATTATGGAGAAATATTGCCTGTATATTTCCTAATAATTAATGGAATTATTTCGTTATTATTATTATTTCCTTTCATTATTATTTCGTTCATGCCGTCACGAAGCGGCAGACGAAATGCTAGGTAGCGCTCGGTTGGACGAATGTGGAGAGAGAGGGGAGTTGGCGTCATCCATTGGAGGCGCACGTGATTGGGTTAGGTTGGCTGGAGCCATTCTGTGATTGGTCCAGCATTCGACCCTTGTGATGTCATTAGCGATTTTAAAAAATAATTATGTAATTAACAAAACTGTGAAATTAAACTTTCTAGAACGTTTTAGCTCAATTGTAGATTATTCTATTCCAAAAAGTATCTGAAAACAATTTTTATCAAGAAATTCATAAGTTGACAAAAAGTAGGAAGAGTTTGAAAAATATTTCCGAATGTTTTCTTCAAATCCACAAGTTTCAGAAATATTCGTAAAATAATAAAAAAAACAAACGCGAAATCGAACTGATTTGAAATAATCATTTCGTTAAACTTTCATGTTGACAAAAAAAATTGATAGACTAATTAATAAAGTATCTAATAACCCTCGATCCATCACCTAGTGTCAGAGAAGTTCTCAGATCACCGGATCAGGTAATTGGAGCTACCCTAACGCGTCTCATCCGCCACGTAAAGGAGAAAAAAATCATGAAAAAATGCGAGTTTTGTTTTCCTCTTTCTGACATTCGAGGATGGCTTCTCTAACGCCCAGATTGCTCACATCATGATGGAGAAATTCGGTTTATCGATAATCTCCTCGGGTTTTTAACACGGATGGAAACTGATACAGGGCCCCGAACTCGTACAAACGTGTTCTAATGGCGTTGGAAATTCCTGCCTAGTCATTGAGGATGAAAGCCACAAAATTTCCATTGAAATTGGTGGGATCAGTTTTCCATTCATACCTGTTATATTTATTCATCTATTATCGACCATCATCTGCTATTCATCTATTATTGGGGTGATTTCTCGAGTGAGGTTCGATTGATTGATGCAACAGTAAAGTGTGGGGGACATTTCTATGTTTAATTAATACAACCGCCAAATAATATAATTCTAGCCTAGGGAAGTAAAATAAAGGAGTCGTACCCACATGCGGAATTACGTTTAAGTCGATTTTGGCTAGTAGCCAGTTTTCAAAGAATATTTCGAAATCTAAGGGAGACCGACGTCGGTGGCCGAGTGGATTAGACGCAAGTCTAGTGTGCGAAAGGTTGTGAGTTCGATTCCCCGTGGAACCGAATTTTTCAACGGAAGGCTCCGGCGAGCCGGGGAGGTTGCTAATAGAGGGAACCGCCTGTACCGGCATGGGTTTTCTGTGGTTTCCCCATGCTACTTCTATGTTTTATAGGAGTGCGAATGCGGTACAGTGTAGAATCCACAGCCGCATGCATAGGGTTGGATAGAGTGCCGAATGGGACCCGAAAAGGGACTCCGAGGCCGTAAAAAAAAAAAAAAATCTAAGGGAGATAGGAAAATTTTTCTCATGACCTTCTTAGTAGTACTCAATTCGCTCTACAAAAAAGGTTTGTTTGGTGAGGAACTAGGTTTAGGGTGGATGTGGGAGAAAATGTGGAGGGAGATGCTGGAAAATTAATTGTTGAGACGGATTATAGAAATCGCCATTTATTGTGGGATCGAACCACGTCATTAAATAAATTCTTTGTACACTCTTTGGTATTAAATTTCAGTGTTGAGTGTCTTAAAATCACTGCTAATTATCTACAATTTTAATAACATTGAATCACTGATAATAATCGAAATTTAACTCATAATTGTGGTGATGTACTGAATGAAGTGCTATAATTAAATACCCGTGCGATCTTCTAAATAGCTAAATTTCAACTACTTTTCGGGGGTTTCGCGATTCCCTGACCGCTCAACCGAAGGTTCCCGATGGTGCTCGAGGATTGTCGGTAGGACCGATCGTTTAACTGATGGATATAGCTACGTTTCAAACAAGGTTATTATAAAAATTTCGTTATCTCCCTTAAATTCGGAAACATTTCAGGCAAACTCAACTAAAGACCAAATTGACTTAAACCGTTTGACCACTTCGCTACTGATTTCATGTTCAATTATTTCACACACTTTCTGTTTTTTCTCTTCATTTATTTAGATACATTCTTGTAATTTCCATTGAATTCTAGAAAGAAATTCAACTCTGAATCAATTCTTGAATTTGAAATAAAAATATCCAGTAGAACAAAATTGTAGAAAATTAATGTCCATCAATTTGTAAAGAATAAATCTCAGGAGAATTATTCACCCAAAAAAATCAAAATCTATTCAATTTTTCCTATCAAATAGCGATTCAAAAAACGCACGATAATTTCATCATTTTCAATAGAACGTTAAGAGAATTATCATTCCTTTCCAATAGAAATTCATTAGTTTCTTAAAGAAAGAGTTAGATTTCTCCGTCAAATTTCTTCATGCGTTGTTCATTTCAACTATTTTTCTATATGCATGTTATTTTCGTGAGTCATACAGGGGAAAGTTGAAGTTATTGCGAGAGAATAAATTCTTGAATTTCTATTTTCCACAACATTTCGATTTTTAAATTGTCAAGAACCGTTGTTTCTGTCTGGGTCGAATGAATATGCATGGAAATATGTGAATGACTGACGATGGAGATTCCGAGGTGTCGGCGGCGTGTGGGAATTCGAGTGGATTTGTAACACAAAGAGATTGAATTAACGACGTATTGAATATTCAATTATTGGTATTTAATTAATCTGTTGGAGATGAGTAAACGGTCGATAATTAAGTTGATCAATGCCCCTCCTATTTTTTGATGATCCTCAATTACTCCGGTGATTTTATGTATTGAATTCATTCAATCGAACGCTGAAGTCGCGTGGACCGAGCTTCCAGGGGTATCAATTTCGCCTGATGTCTATGGCCATTGAACGAGTTATTTCGTTATTAATTCGGTGTGACGGATCGTGGGGATTCATCTCGATATCAAATAACACGAGAGGCGATACTAACACAAAAAATCATCCTCAATTTCGCCAAAACTCGAGAAAACTAAAGTTAGAATTTTCTTTTGAATTCTGAGCTTTGAAATGAGAATCAAAACTATTCTTTATCGGAGATCTGAAGATTTTTAACAATTAAAGTCGTCTATTTTATTCAGTGATATGAATTTCGAAAGAAAACTCTGATAGAGTTGTTCTCATTCATTTTTGCAAAAAATTACTCTTTTTTAGATATTTCGTTTTTAAGAATAAATAACGTTAACTGTCGGAAATCTTATTTTCATAGTATGAGATAGATTTCTAAGAGAATGTATTGTTGCGATAGAAAATTGATTGTTCATAAATCAGTAGTGAAGTGGTCAAACAGTTCAAGTCAATTCCATTCTAGCGCCATCAGTTCTCGATGAATATCTCAAATTCTAAAGGAGTTGGCAAAATTTTCCTGAAGATCTTTTTGTAAATAAAAATGAAGACTGTCGAAAAAGATTTACAAAAATTTCGCTCTTTCTTAAATTCCCAGTTATTCAAGAAAAACTTAACTGGGAGCTAAGTCGACTTGAACCGATTGACCACTTCAGTACTGAAATATTGTTTATGACTGTTTACGTTTTATGAAAGTCTAAAAAACTTCACATCCGTTTTTTTTAGATTTTTGAAATGTTTCCTAATGGTTCGAAATGAAGATGGTTTTTTGCGAAATTATTTCCCAGCAGAAACCGATTATCTTAAATATTCTTGAGGTTTGAGAACAATTTTTTCGGCTAATTTAATTGTAAATAATTGTAAATATTATGAGATTATCGAGAGTGGTTCTGGAAGGTTTCTGTAGTCGATGAAGCAGAAAGCTACGCGACCCTGCACGGAAAACGCAGTCAGTGATTCCGCAACCAGTGATTCTCAACTCAAATTAGGCAGTTTACTTAAATGTGTCTGTTTCAGAGGGGGAACCACAGTTCGATACATCTCTTACGTTAATCCAGACTGATATTCGTACTCAATGAATTAATATTTTTAGAAAATTATTTACTAGCCTACTGTCTGCATAACACTTATCAATTGATTTGATGTAGCCAGTTTATTGTCTAAAGTCGTTTTACTGTCAAAATTTACTGTCGTCTATACGGGTTGTAATGGATATTTATTAATGCATTATCGATCATGAAATTGAATGCATATGTGATCGATTGCGGGAGGAAGGATCGCTCAACGCATGGCTGATCATCCCCCGGGCGAGTTCACGTTTGCGCAGATCGCCCACAAGCCACAATTAGGAAAAAAAATTCAATTAAAAATAAATATTAATCCCCAAAATCCAAATTGATGTTTTTTGGCTTCCCCAAATGATTTTCAATCGATTCAAACTGGTCCGATCAACATTCACTGTTAAAAATTTTCGTCTGAATTTTTCGTGCCAAATTCCGAAAATTTTTGTCCTGTTCAAGTTTCACTGAAATTTCAGGAAATCGTGTCATTGAAAAATTAAATATTCCATCGATTTTATGTTCAAATGATCTGAAAATCAATAAAATACTTGATTTTTCAGTTCAATTATTTTGTGAAAATTCAGATAAATCAAGAAAATTCAGAGAGAAATTGAAAATTCATGTCGTTTTATTTCTGAATATTCATGTTCCACTGAAAATTCAATCAGGTTGTGAAATTTCTATCTCACTCCCTAAAACTTGAAATTTCATAACCATTTTTTCCCTAAATCCGATTCACTGTCACTCTCATGAGATTTACTATAATATCTTCCATAAAATTTCACAAAATTTCTAACAGTGTTTGATGATACCACCTGCTAACTATATGCCATATAAACAGTATTAAATTATAAATAAACTACACGGAGAAAATAATAAAGTTCCATTTCTAAACTATCCCAAATTATTCCCAAATGATTGGAATTGGCTTGCTATATATCCGTTAAACTGAAATAAAAATGGCACGAAGAATTGATGAGAATCCTATGGTTGCACACGTCAGGTGCTTGATCAATAATCATCACATTTTTCATCATGAAACGGTGAATTGCGAAGAATTTGTAAAGGTTATTTCACAAATTATCATTTCTCTTAAACTTTCATGATTTCATGATTCATGACTTTCATGACAAAATGATTTTTGAAATTTTTTCATTAAATTTTCTCCTGTTAAAAGAATTATTATTAATATTCAGTAAGAATATTAATAATGATTCAGTAAAGAGTTAATATTCATGAAATAACCCGCAAAATTATATTTTTTTACATTATTTTTTTCGTTTTGTGTGAATATTTTCAAAGCTAGTGCATTCAGAGAAAAATCTCGAGGGATATTTTTCACAGAGAATTTAAGAAATGATGAAGAACATCTAATATTTTTCTTCATACACGGAGAGAAATTCTTTAGAAAAATTCTAGTGCTGTTACTGGAAAAAATCCTAATACACCGGCTATGAAAAAATCTAGTGCTGTGAAGGTAAAATTACTACGGATATCTAATAAAATTTCTGGAGATTTCTGTGAAAATTGCATATAAGAACGGGCAAAATTCACGTGCTACTCAATAAAATTTTCAGTGCCGACACTGGAATTTTTCCCTGGCCATCACTTTGTGTTCTTTATCCCGTGCTAGTACTAGAATTTTTCTAGAGAATTTCTCTCCGCGTATCGATACATTTTGAAGTAATTTGCAACAAAAATCATAAAGTTGCTATCGGCACATCTCTGGAACTTACAGCTATAGCGGAAACAGTCAAAAGGTCTTCTTTGCAGCCCATGAAATTCTACAAAAAAATGTTCTTATGGCATTTTTTCCTAAACCCATGACTCCTCGAATTATTCGGAAAAATAATCTGTAAAATCATGCCAGATTTATCTCATTTCCTCTTGGAAACAGATCTCTGATAACTCCCGCCGGAAATTAAATTTCTTATCACCCATTATATTTTATCCTCTTCCCCCACAAAGTATTAAACGCCAAAAAAATTTAAATAGCAAGCGTCTATATAATTTCAATTGCTCGATAAAAAAACGAGAAATACGATCGTTTAAATTCTACGACGTCGTTACTCAAGGCTCCCTGAGCAACAGTGGCCCAGCGTTTATACCACTGAATTATCGACGAATTAACAGAATGTAATAAGAATTTATAAGACATCTTGAGTTGCCGACATTTTGACTCCTCTCATATCATCATTCTTATATTTTTTTTCTTTTTATCTTCAACCGTCCCATCCGTTAAACGTTCACTTCAAACATTTTACGCGACGTTTCCCCTGCCTTCTTGAGCCTTCCGCTTTCCACTAAATCAGAGATTTAATGCTTCGGCGCCTGGGTAACACAAGTTTTGAGGTTTGAACCGAGACATTGATGTGTCGATTTTTTTTTTCACCTTTATAACGTTATTTTCAAATTTATTTCAACGTAAACAGGAGACCAAGGTAGATAATTTTGGTAAAAATTTAATTTTATGGAAAATTGAATTTTTTATATTTTTTTATCTGTCGTTAAATTATGAAATGAATCAATTATTTTCTCCAAATTGTTACGACGGATTTTTGGGCCTTATTTTTGCATGAGTCACAAATATTTTCTGGGACCCATCTACACAATTTCGGATTTTCAGAATGACCAAATTCTGAGCTTTTTAGGGTCCCATTAGTGGGGTTATATGAAACAGTAAGTCCCAATTTTTTACGGGGTCTCAGTTACCATATTTTGCACAGATGATGCGAGATTTTAGGCCTAATTTTTCATAAATCTCATCTGTTTGGAACTCTGAGCCTCATCTGAGCCTCGTTAATTGATAACGAATTAAAAAAACTGAAAAATATGGGTCTTAAAAATGTCGTTTCGTCCCTATTCATTATTGTATAAGTCCCAAATATTTTCGGTACTAATCGACTGAGTCGTGAATTATTAAAGGCATAAAACTCTGAGCTTTTGGGCTCTACGACCGGGATTATATGAAACAGTAAGTCCCAATTCCTAAGGAGTCTGGGTAAGGCCCGGAGCTCAAATTTGATAGGTATAATCATCGTATTTTTAGCTCTGAGTTGTGAAGTTCAATTTCTCATTATCGGCATGCATGAAATTAAATATTTTGGGCCTGATTTCTCAAATAAGTCCCAATTATTTGCAACTCTGGGCCTTATACCTTTATTTATACTGATGACGAAGCGAATACTCTAAAATCCTGGGCCCCATAGATTTCATTCTCGTGATAATTATGAACCTCACGATTTTTGGGCCTCACACATCAATATGTTTCGGTCCTCCCTCAATCTTGAAATTTCTCATACCGATAGGCTCGTAGAGTAATAGTATATTAGATTACAAGTGTGAAAAAAGGGGAATGTTAATACGAGTGGGGTAATGTTTTTAATTAATGAGGGGTTTAATTAAAATTAGTCTTTGGAAAAGTCATACTTAATTATTTTTTAGTACTACATGAAAACTACTTCTGAACGGGAAATATCCTAGCAATCCCGGTCGGTGTAAGGGGAGAGGGGGAACAAACCACCGTGAGTATGTATCACGTGATTATGAATGTGATTCACTTGTATCATAAAGTGTCAGTTTATGCACGAATAGCTATTTTCCTTACAAGGCCGAAAACTTGTTTTCGACCGAGTGACGAACATAATTATTTTTCACAATGTTCGTAAACGGCGTTTGACGGACAGTGTGATGGAATATACTAATATTTCGTCATTAGGCCGGAAGAAACTTTTCTGGCGAATATGAGTTTGCAATCATATCAGCTAGGAAAGTTTTTTGACGTGGATACGGCCATGGTTTCATTGTGGGGGGTCATTTTGGGAAACGGTCCTTATGTGCAGCGCCATCTATCGGAATTCTAGAAAATTCTAAACACTTCGAGGAAATTCAACGAAATTCTAGAAAATTCGAGAGAGTTCAAGGAGTTTCTAGATTATTCGATCTAATGCAAGGATTCTCTAAAAAATTCGAGGGAATTCAAGGAGTTCCTAGAAATTCCGAGGAAACTCATCGAGTTTCTAGAAAATTCGAGGGAATTGAAGGAATTTCTAGAAATTCCGAGGAATTCCAGGGAGTGTCTAGAAAACTTGAGAGGATTTGAGAAGTTTCTCGAAATTTCAATGGGATTCAAAGAGTTTCTAGAAAATTCGTGTGAGTGCAAGAAGGTTCTAGAAAATTCGAGAGAATTCAAGAGTTTCTAGAAAATTCGTGTGAGTGTAAGAAGGTTCTACAAAATTCGAGAGAATTCAAGGAGTTTCTAAAAAATTCAAGGGAATGCAAGAAATTCCTAGGAAATGCGAGAGAGAAGGAAAGATCACGGACGTATCCACGTACAATTACATCTCTATCAAAGATAACACTTCGAGGAAATTCAACGAAATTCTAGAAAATTCGAGAGAGTTCAAGGAATTTCTAGATTATTCCATCTAATGCAAGGATTCTTTAAAAAATTCGAGGGAATTCAAGGAGTTCCTAGAAATTCCGAGGAAATTCATCGAGTTTCTAGAAAATTCGAGGGAATTGAAGGAATTTCTAGAAATTCCGAGGAAATTCAGGGAGTGTCTAGAAAACGAGAGGATTTGAGAAGTTTCTCGGAATTTCAACGGGATTCAAAGAGTTTCTAGAAAATTCGTGTGAGTGCAAGAAGGTTGTAGAAAATTCGAGAGAATTCAAGTTTCTAGAAAATTCAAGGGAATGCAAGAAGTTCCTAGGAAATTCAAGAAGGAAGGAAAGATCATAGACGTATCCACGTACAATTACAGCTCTATCAAAGATACAGCTGCCTGCAATTTTTTAGGCCGTACGACGAACAATATTTTTTGTCATAACGGCTGTAACCAGCGCTGCCTTACGGCCGCAATGAGAAAAAATCTGTTAACGAAAAGAGCCTTCTGCAAGCACGTGTTTCAAAAAAAATTTGTTAACATAATTCGTAGTACTGACCTGATTTAACGGAACAATGAATATGCGACCTGGACTCATAGTAGACCCAGTCGAAGCCAGCTTCAACAGCGAGCCTAGCCAGCATTCCATACTTGGAGCGATCCCGATCGCTGGTCGTAACATCCACAGCTCTTCCCTCATAATGCAGCGAGTCAGTGGCATGTTTTCCCTCCTCATCCCACCCCTCAGTCACCCTCAGCTTGACCCCAGGCCACTGATTCATCACGGATATCGCCAGTGTATTGAGCTTTTCCTTACACCTCTGCAAACAATAAAAACATCCAAAACATTAATTTTTATTTCCCTCAACATTTTTACTCCACTCCTAAAACCAAGGATTTTATTTCCACGTGTTTATTTTCATACTCCCGTAATTCTTATCTCAGAGAGGGTAGATAAGACAAACGCTTGAACCTCAGGTAACCCCACCTTTCAAGAAAAAAGGTAGCCTCCGGAAAAATAAACGCTTGTTTTGACCGCTCAGTGATGGACACCAGGAGAGACGAAAATAAAAGATAGGGACCTCCTTGAAAAAGGCCGGCCCGTGGCAAATCAAGGGGCAAACAAGAGTATAAATACAAGAAAGAGGAGAAAAAAAATATATATAAAGGACAGGCTTTTACTTGGCCTAATGCCGAAACATCCAAATATTTTTTCAAACCTCCGAATCTTTTACCTGGTTGAACGACAACTTTTACCCAATGAATGTAAGGAATAAGCAAGGATAGAAAACGAGAACATGAGACGAAGATTTTTCTGTCCGAAGCCCAGGGGGCTAATCCGTAGGCGCGAGAAGCCAAAGTCGACAAAAACCCCTTGACTTTTGCCGCAGAAAATCTCTTTCAGAGTCACTTAACTATTTTTATTTATTTTTTCTTCAAAACTTCCCCTCGAGCTTTCACAGTTGATAAAGCATTAATATATTTTATTTTCAACTTATTGATGGCTGGTTAAACCATTTGGTTCATTGTGTGCCCTCCACTCCCCTTAAGGCCCCAAATGTGGGCCCACCGGAAATATGCAAATTCATTTCAATAAAAAAAATTGAATAAAACGGGGAAAAACCAGGTGACAATGAAAATAAAAAAGTCAACTGGGAATTCAGGGATAAAATGCCCACAAAAATGTCAGTTATTAGGTCCCTGTCCCTAAGGGCCTCAAAAGAGAAGCGAGTGAATGGGCGAAGTCCTGCGGTGTAACGATTAGCTTCTACCAGACTGCGAAGATACACTGGTGTCATCTAACAATACAAGGAAGGGAGGGGGCACGGTGAAATTCAACAGTGTCATCTCGGTGAGAATACCTACGCTAATTCTTGTAGAGTGTACGATACGTTTTCAACGTTGGGTATTTATAGGATAATGGTTGTGCATTGGATCAACGTCTTTTGGATTATGGCGTGGGCGAGGATGTGTGTCATACAATGGATATCAACTGACGACAATTTTATTTTCTCTTATTTTGGTGCATGGATTAATGGCTTCTTTTTGTGAGAATGTGATCATTCTTCATAATTTTTTAAAAAGGAGATGATCATTTTTCATTGTATTTTTAAAAATAGATTTTACGAATGTATGATTTTTACTGATGAGAAATGTTCAGGCCCAGTTTTTTTCTATTTTGGGCCTTATCCTTTTTTATAAGTCACAGATATTTTTGGGACTTATTCGTGAATAATCTATTTATGCATCTCGAGATTTTTGGGCCTTACAGATTATTTTTCTTCGTTCTTCTGCACCAATATTTTTGGGACTTATTCTCTCATTATTCTCTTATTGCTCAATCTCGAATTATTCAAATCATAAAATTCAACGCTTTTAGGTCTTATTGAAGTTACATGACAGTAAGTTCCAATTTTTGGGTCCTAGCCAACTTATCTGGAATTTTGACCTTGATGGTCAATCATCCTTATATACGAGATAAAAATTTTGGGCCTTATACCGTAATTCGTAACAGTGAAAGCTTAAACAATTCAAAATTGTTTTATACACTGATTCCCCAATTATAAATCTCAAAATTTTTGGGCCTTATACATTAATTTTCTTCGTTCTTCTGCACAAATATTTTTGGGACGTATTCATTGTATCTCCGATAATTCAAATCACAAAATTCAAGGGTTTCGGGGCTCAATGAAATTACATGAAACAGTAAGTCCCAATTTTTGGGTCCTAGCCAATGTATCTTGAGCTTTGGCATTGATGCTCAATCACCGTCATATATGAGATGAAATGTTTTGGGCCTCACACCGTAATCCGTAATAATGAAAACTCAAACGCTAATTCCCCAATTATGAATATCGAAATTTTTGGGCCTTACACATTAATTTCCTTCGTTCCTCCGCAGGTTTGAAATTTCTCTTGAATGCTCCGAGCACTTATTCCCTCTTTGTTTGAAAAAAAACTTGATGATGCAAGTATTAACCCGAAAATTTATGTGAGAATAAAAAATTCATCGTCGAAATATCCAATATGGCTGGCGTACACATAATACAGATTGGAGGTCAGAGGAGTCCAGGCACCGCGAGGCCCCGAACGAGGAGATAAAAGGCCATAGTATGTTCGTAAAGGAAAAAAAAATAAGAAGAAAATATATATAAAATAAAATAAAGGTAAGAATGGCCGACTGTGTACGAGAGGGAGAGAAGAGATATCCGACGACCACAACTGTTTTCGGACGGGGGGGACCCATGCAATATACCGGTGCCCGATGGGGTTCCATGTTGGCACAGCAGGCGATCAGAAACGAAAAAAGGCCCCTCCCAAAAGTTTACATCTATTTACAAACATTTTGCCGGTAAGGGAGATTCTCATTTCATATTTACAGGACCCACTGGGTGAGGATAAAAGATATTTCGGTCAAAAGTCACAGAAATTTGAAGAACATGATTTTCAGAACTATTCATAATTGATTGTGCCTGAAATCCATCCTTCTCTGCTCCGCAATAACTAATAATTTTTTGTTTCCGAATGGAAGCTTTGTAATCGTTGATTTTGACGATCTTCTAATTTTGCCTGGAAATGACGTTGAATGCCATGAAACGCGAAGATATGATGAAACATAATTAATTAATTGTTTCCCTCATATAGAGGTCCGGAAAGTTGAAGGATAATAACGTAACATTCCGCTTTCCATGTAATTTATGCCTTAAAAACATCTAAGGTTTGACCGAATAGATATAGCCTGGGGATAATACAGAGGGAAGATATGTATTGTATTTAGAAAATATGTGTACGTATGTGCGGACGCGTGTGCCAATTTTTCGAAAATTTTTTATAAATCTTCATAGAAAAAGAACTAAAGTTCGAGCTAAAAATTTGAAATTTCGTCACATAATTGGTATTACTTTGGAGCACTTCTCGGCGTAATTTCAGATCAATCGGTCAAGTGGTTTCCGAGATACAACGATTTCTCAGAAATCTTTTTTCCTCATTATCTCAAAAACTATGTGACTAAGTTAAATTCTTTTGACGTCATATTCCTTACGAGAATATATATCAAATCAAATCAAAATATTGCTGTATAAGTTGGGACAGTTTGGTAATAATGGGTATTTTCGTTTTTATGGGAAAATCGTTCTGTGCACGATAACTCCCGAAAAAATGTAGATAGGATATTGAAATTCAGTGAGATTGTAGCTCTTATGATATTACAAGATGGAATTATGGGTAGGCAGAATCGGACAAGTGGTTTAGAAGATATTCAAATTCTTGTGAAAAAAGTTTAGTTTAATATCTCTTAAACTACTTGTCCGATGAATTTGATTTTTTTCTCAAAATATTCGTCTTGCCACCCCCTATCAAGATCAATCCAAATATGAATACCCGTTCATGAAACATTTTCGAGATATTCGCGTTTTTCCAATTTTGTCAATTGAGATTTAATACGGCGTTCCATAAAATGCGTAAAACGTGAAATAAACATCTGAGATTCTGACCACTGATTATTATTATTGAGTCACACTTGTGTATAAAATTTCGTGTCGATCAATTCAACACATTCTGAGCAACTCACCCAGAAAATTTTTTTTCCAAAAAGTCGCACATCGTCATTTTATCGATTACTTTCGCCACCGAGGGCTTACTCTCCACTAGTTTCAAAAATAGTTTTCTATCAAAGAATAGCACAACTAAAATTCTCACATTAATCTTGTAAAACACAATTCACCAATTATTTCAAATAAAAAAAACTAATTCATCAGATAAAAGACGAAAGACATTAGAGGCGCGATGAGACCCATCTGGTCCACGTACAAGGCCCACCTTGGGCCCTGGTAACCTCAAAGGAAGCGCCGAAAATGTGGGGATGCTTGGGGTCCCTGGAGGTGGCGCCATCACAATGTTTTTTTTTCCTCTTCTTTTTTGACCTTTTATTTCTTCTCATCCCGCGGTGGAGGGCGGGCGAGCGCCATTGCAAAAGACAATGGAAACACGTACTAAAGTCGACGAACGGATTTTACCTTGTCCACCTCCTCGTAAGTCACTTGACAAGAAGGCATGGAGACAGGGTAAGAACCAATGGGCAAAAGTGTGGTTATGGGTATATAAAGGAGAGAAGATAGAGGAGATATATTCATGAGAGATATCCCGTAGGGGAGTCCCGTCGCAGCGCCAAGATACTCTCACACAGCCTACAGCATTTGTACGTGGGAATGGCATTTTATTTCACTTTGAGTACAGAATATATACGTGTATTGGAGGCTCAACATTCTTCACAAGTCGTTCGTCTTCCTCCTTTCGATAATTTGTTTTTTTGGTTTCTCCCTTGATTCTCTATCCTTCATTCTCAATTTTTTTTCCATAACTTATGCTTTTTTTCATACTGCTCTTTAACCACCTTCAATCGCACCGGAGAGTCTCTGGCGAAGATCAGGGGCTATAAAGTCTACGGCTAATTACAACGTGTCAATCATGCACGTATCGCACGAACTCATGACGCCTACTCATATGCCACATCGATGCTGTATAACCATGCATTATGGGTCGGAACGGAGGGGGCCTTATGAAGAGTGGTAATGTATGGAGGATGGAACCCTACTTCCTTTCTCGCCTGCACGTTCGCCATTTTTCTTCTTTCGCTGGTTACTTTCTTTCTTCAATTTGCCACATTCAATTACAGTCAATGTTGCAATTGCGCGCGTGTAAAATTGGAATTGAGTTTCAAATATCCGTGAGGCCCAAAAATTAAAGTTTTTGGGCCTTGTGCGTTGATCTCTTTCTTTATACGTTTCGAAAAAGTGATTGAAAGAAGTAGGTTGGCGGAAAT